TCTTATGAAATATGAATAGTTTCACCCGCTCAAAGCAAAATCAGCTGAAAACATAAAAATAAACTGAAATATATGTACGTATTTACAAAAATATTTTGGTTTGCGATTGTGTGTGGCTGACGAGCCCCCCATACATACATACATTCGAGTTATTATCCACACAAGCTCAAGTCGTATGTCTGTGTTTTTAAAAACCCGTTTATTTTCAAAATTAAATGGAAAATAAATTCCGAATCACTGGATTTAATCGAACTTCTCGGAACCCTTTGATGCCTATATTTGGATCGCGATCAATTCAAGTCCCGCTTGGTAATGGAGTTGTTGGCCCCATGTTCCGATACGATACGTATCGCTTATTTGCTGTCTCTCTTCAACGCCGTGCTGGTGCTGTACCTTTATTTTATGTGTGTGTGTGCCCGAGTGATTGCCCAAAGGTCACAGCCGAAGGTCGTTGGTATTTCGAGATGAAAACGTGCTGTTGTTTAGGCAAAACTTGGCAGTTTCCCGACTCGCAGACTCGCACAATTTTTGGAACAGGTTTGACTGGCAAAAGGGTAGCAAACCTGGCAAGGGCACCTTGGGAATGACTCAAATATGCGACAAACATATTGAATATACACTCCCATGTTAGGTTCTTAAATATTCTGTTTTGCCGGTAGCAGTTTTTGCTGTCAACACGTCACTTTTACAATTCACCTGCGAATTGCATCAACAAAAAGAGAAGAGAAGTGCGACTGAGGGGGCGGCATGTGAGGGGAGAAAGCGAAGCCAAAGTTCGCGAATCGAGGAAGAGAAGTGTGCATAGAGAGTGGAGAGGGAGAGTGCCGGCTGTTCACGATCGGCACGATCGGGCAAAAGTTCCTCCCCCCTCGTTTCGGTGTGTGCGTGAGCGGCTTTTTATCACAGAAAGAGAACCATTAGCACGCGGTTCGCTCACGCTCTTTGCCTTTAACTCACTCACGTTCGCCAACAGCTGTCACTTTTACACTGTCACAAAGAGAGTTGACCAATTGGTAAATAATAAATCAGAATTCTCATAAATTTTACATAAAAATATTAACACATTTCTTACTGAAGATTATTTTCCAGCTAAAATAATAAAATTAGGCTTTTCCTCTTGTTTAATATGTAGTAAAAGCGACCACCAAGAAATATATAATTCAATTGATCAATCTATTTTGAACCTTTGTAGTTCCCAAAATGTATTAAAAAAAGTTACCCTTGTAGGAAACGTTAGCATAAAATAGTATTTCAAACATTTTGATTCAAGTTAGCAACAAATAAACACTTTTCCTAATGCAATATTTATATGTACCCGCCATTCCTGACAGTGTACGGCTCTCCGATATATATACTATTTTTTGCACATCCGCTCGCTCTCAGTGCCGTTGATATCCCAGTTTTGGATATATAACGCCGCCGTGAGACTGCGAGAGGGGTGTCACAGTGAGAGTGGTAAGGCGCTGAGCAAAAACTATTTAATAACCGTAGGTTGCACGGTCGTGATTAGTCTCGTGGCGCGCTCGAAAGCGGAACAAGTGGACCGACGCTGGCGAATATACTCGTACGGCAGTGATCAAAGCCAAGTGATAAATGCAAACAACGCACATTGGCAGCAAGTGATAAACAAGTGGCAGACATAAACAAAACATTTTGACCATATTAAAATCTGTGCTCCCATCTCGCGGCCCTGTGCGCGTTTGGAAACTACTTATCGCAACGTCCCCGAGCAACATTAGTCGTCGAACGATGGCCACTCCAGCGGGTACCTCCAGCACTCCCAAAATGAACGGCAATAGGTGAGTTGTTTGTGTTTCTTGATTTTGTTGAGCAAATTCCATTGCATAAGTCTGCAGACTGTAGAGTGCAGAATGCAGAAAGTGCATCTCGCCTGCCAACTGAGAACATCTGTTGTCTAGCTACCCGCTTTCACTTTCCTACCCGCAATGGCAGATTTGGCCAATGTCTCGTACGAGTGCCAAGAGCGGTGCGAGCGCATATGTATATAGCCAGATATATTTTATAGTTTTATTTAAAACCGCCGCTATTTTGTGTGCCAATGCCACTGTTTTTCGTCTTTGTTTTCTTGTTTTTATTTTATCTCCCCTCACGCACGCTTACGTTTGCAAATCAGCCGGCGAGCCAAAATCTCATTGAGTTTTCTCATTTTTTTTTCTCTCTTTTGTGTGTGCTCTACGTTAAGTCATTAATTAGTGTCTAATGAGTTTGGGTTATCGATCTCATATTTAAAATAAACGAACTATAAAGTATTTTAAACGGTAAATAATAAATATAAATTCGTCTGCACAATTAAAGAAACATACTGAAAGAGAGTTCTAGTAAAATATTAAAAAATAAAATAATATTTTCAAATAAATGCCATCGCACAGAGGCTATAAAAAATTTCACAAGAAAAAAAAAAATGTTTCATTACAAAGCTTTAATCACAATATTTATATTAGCGTCTTATATCAAGATTTCTTATTAAAACATCTAAAAAAGTTTCAATACTTAATGCATTTCCTCTAAGCATCATTAATATTTTTAATTAAAAATGGAATATTTTCGTAGTATAATAAAAAGCCCATAAATCATATTAGCGCTGTAATATAAGGTAGGGTGTACGCCCGTTCTCTCATTAACACGTTTGGTAATTATTTCCATTTTTGTTTTCGCTCTGTGTTCACAAGTGTCGTTGACGGCGAAGAGTGCAAATAAATATATTTATATATGTATGTATGTGTATTTCCACATTGTTAGTTACTTACCAGAATATGTGAAAACTTTAAAGAAAAGAATGCAAAATGTAAAACTTAACATGTTTCGTGTTAAATTCAAAAAATCCGGGCCCATAACCAATGCAATTACATGCAAAAGTGAATTTACAAGTAGCTTAGTAGTTAAGCACGTGTGTTGCCGAGTCACATACGACCTTGTGTCGCAGCACCTTTGGAATTTAAGCTAGAACTAAAATTTACACTTGGAGAAACGCTTTATTTGTGTGCGGGAAAACCACCCATCCCAAGGACACATTTACTGGTCTAAGGGTTGAGACCATTATCTGTTATCAGTTCCCGATGTCCCCTTATCGATACCTGTAACGAGCCCCTCCTTCCGATTGCGCGGCTTATCTTTGTCAATTATATTTTTTCGCAACCTATTTTTGGGCCACAAGCAAAATTTACTGCATACTTTTAAGTTAACGTTGAATATTACTGGATGTATAATGTAGAATTAAAACTGTGTTTAGACACTGTTCATGTACAGTTTAAAGTAAGGGAGGTAAGCCTTTATTGATAAATTATTTTGATTAACACATAAAACACTCCTTCGATTATTGCAAACCACAAACTTCAAGACTTAATTAGCAAAACTTCTTTTACCAAAGTCCCACTTTATAGTAGAATTTATGTGTGCCATAAAGGTATATTTGTAATAGAAAATATATAGAAGGATAAATCGAATTCATGAAAAGAATATTTCTGCTTCCTTTGCTATGACACTTAGCTTGGAACTCCAATGCCCAATAATTACCACGTTGTTAACGAATTCCTTGATAATATAGCAAAAACCTCATTGGGCCATTGACATTTTCATTAAAAAAAAGTAGTAAATAAATCACTTGTTATGTGCACTTATTACGATATATTTCAAAATAAATTATATATCCGTCGGAAATATATCTTGCCTAAGCCAGAGATTACTATAAAAAATTATAATTTCTAAAAATTAACGTTATTTACGTACTCGACAATTAACCGCATGTTTTTAATTTAGTTTTCAATTTAGTTTACTTATTGCAAACCCATAAATAAGGAAGCCATTAATATTGACAAAATACTCTCACGAAATTTGTTGGCAGAACAAATGTTAAAATTGAATTTTTTAATGTTTCTCGCAAGTTGTGTTTAGTCACGAAATTAGTTCTGATTTGTATACATTTTCCCCGCTTTCCGTTGGACGCTACACTGCTGTTGGTCGCCGCTTGGCGGTGTGTCCACTGCGTATACGTAATATTTTACGTTTAAGTTTTAACTTAACCCAGATGCTGAGCAATGTCTAGTCACTTTACCAGATCACTCAGAGTAAATATATTAGTCCAGTTATAGCTCTTATTTTCTTATCAACTCAGACACTGACAGACAGTGCGAATATTCATTATCTGTGCGAAGATCCCCTCTATTTCATTTTTAATTTCAAGCTGTCAGTACTCACAGCTCACATGAATATATTTAAGTGTCTGCCGCGCTTTCCCCCCTTGCAAAGGGGCCCTTATTCTTTGTTTAAATCTAATCTCAATAGAATTAGGGGATGCACACAACAACGCAGAATAAGGTGAGTCTGGTTTCACTGAAAGGAGTTAGTAAAATGTAAAAGAAATCTTGTTCGACTTAATTTTATTTATTCCTTATCAATTTTAATAAATACCTATAAGTCCATTGCTCAATAAAGACCATTTTCTCTACCATCAGAGTGAATAATCTTTATGCCAATTCAAAAATTATTTATTTAGCTATTGCCATTAGGTATTGATAATACACTGATATATGATGGGGCCATAAATACCACCTCAGTTCTTTGGAGTGCAATTCTATCTTATCGCACAATTTCTAAGATCTTGACGGAGAAAAGCTTAAGGGAATCGAGCAAAAGTATTTACGATCCCGTAGACGTGTCAATTTGCCAAATTTTTCCACAATATTCTTTGCAAAGTTAATTGTGAATGAAAAAATGATCGCCTTTATATATTTCACTTCAATATTTTATTGGCTATCAATCTGTCACTCAGTAGATGTGACATTTATTTATATAAGTTTTCAACGAAAAATATAAAATACAGAGAGCAGCTCCCAACTAGAAGCAGCTGCCAAAGGTATTGCCTTAACCTTAGGGCCATGAAAACATTTGGTAATTCGATTCTGGCCAAAGTTAATGGCGTAAATGCCATTTAAATTTGAATCTCCATCGCTTGGCCGGAGACAGTCGGACTGTAGCCTTCAAGCTCTCAACATCGTCGATGTGCTGACGAGCAGCGTTTTCTGATTAGAACTGGGAACACATATAATCCGGGCATATATAGTAATCAGGTGTCCAACGCAGATAGTGAGCGAGTTATAAAAACTCGCGCTCAGCTGAGCAAATTGCCAATAATAAAAGTGTGTGAAACGCGAAAACAAACTGAGAACTAATTGGAAAACAAAAAATAAAACAATTGTAATTTGGTGAATAAAAATGTTTGTAATTGCGATCTCGGCATGGGACTCCCAAGCGGCTGAAAAGCAGAAACCGCGAGATAAATATACAAAAGCAATTAAATTATAATTTTCAATACAAATTGTTGTGGTTGCTGACATTTTCCCTGATATCTGCTGATATTTTCCCTGCGTTTATTCCGTTCGCGTTGCAAACGTAGACTCGTGTTATTTTTGCTCACCGACAAGCGGTGTCAGTGATCTGCGGTCCCCGGGTACTTAACATTTTTAAACGGACTGCCGGACGAACAGCTCGCAATGCATAATATAATGATGGGCGTCTAGTATTTATTTTTTGTCTCCGAGTCTCGCTTGTGTCAAGTCTACCTTCTGGTTTCAAACAATTAATTGCATCTAATAAAATTATTGATAAAAATTCCGTTTACCAAAATGCTAATCTTCCCGGACTGGATGATGTACTTGCTCTCTTGCGGATAAACCTGTTCAATCCAATATATACTTAGTAATGGCAACATCTGCCAGAAATTTTTGAAACTAATTAGCAAGTCAATTTATTCACTGCGCTGAACATCTTTGATTGGTGCGTTTTTAATCTTTAATGGAATCCGCTAGTGATAAAGATAAAGACGGCGTGGAACAACGCAGTTGCGAACCAGAAGGAATTACTTCAAGATCTTTGTCATACTTGAATGCAATAAACAAGACCCTTGATCAAAAATACTCAAAGAGCTCTCTTGTAATCTGCAAGATTAAGTTCAATGTCTTGGTTCTGATAAGCGATCGATAAGCCTACTCAATATGGTTAAGTACTTTAATTGTAGGTCGAGTACTTCTTTATTAAATGAGTTTCCATTGAATAATAACATGTAATTGTTGCAAAGATATATATAATTTGATTTCTTCAAGTCCTTGGCTAGGGATTTCCCTCATAGAATAAACCAAATCATTTTTTGTGCGTACCAATGACCTTTAGAAGGTCTTTGCGTCTGTATTTGAACCGTTAAGCAAAGCGAATCGTGCAAGATCTAAAACAAGTTAATTCAACCCGATGCAGGCTTCTTAATTACATTTCCAGTTTTTGTATTTGTTTCTCCGTTTTCCTCTCGAATGTTTTAAACATGTCAGCGGAGTGTACCGTACCAATGTGAAGTTCAGGTATTTGTTTGAAATTTTTTTGGCTCAGCCATCAAACGGACCGTGCCTTATTATAGCTAGTTTAGCGATTAACTAAAGCGGCAATTAAGCGAGCGCGTTGAATGGCCCACATAATGATTAATATTGTCCTTGAATGATTTTGGCAACGTTTTGTTTTCTAGCCGCGTCGATTCGAGTTCAAAAATCGAAATCGAAAGCCCGTTTAAACATTGTGTTCGAACAAAGACGTCACATTGAAGGCACCCGGTCACTTAGCGCCTCCCCCGATGACGACAATTGCGATTCATAATTGAGTTCAATATAAATGTTTAATAATTTCATTGGTAAATATAATAATAAACCAGATGAATGGTGGGAGTGTGAACGAACATCCCCATTCAGGAAACTTAATTATTGCCTTCACATACTTGAAAGTCCCTACTAAATTCTTGCTTTTCAATTCTATAGTTCTGATATCATCTTTGTGGGCGGGGGAGGTTCGGCTGCATTTATGATTTATCAGGAACTAAAGGCGGAATTGTTTGAATCCGTGCTATGCGGAATCGGAAGCCCCCACCGGTGGGGGAACCCAAGACCAGCAATATTTTGAGATACAACAAAAATTTTTTAATACCCAAACGTAAACTGTTTGTAAACTCATTGCACGTAGCGTAGCCCAGCTGTTGTGACTGATATTTGTCATCCACGGTTAACTACGTTATTTATTAGCTTTAAAAACGATAACCCTTACAACCGTTCAAATATTGGTATATTATGTTGGGCTTTGCCAAGGCGAAACTTGCTATTTAAGGAAAAGTAAAATAAGTTAGATAAACTTTGACTTTCAAGAGAGCTGCGTTGCAATGGGTTAAGTAATCGAGTTCTCTGATTCACAGGAACTCACGAACTGAGATCGAACCATTTCGTTAATTGAATCATGATATTTTAATAGCTTGTGACGTGCAAGATCATTGATTCAGTTGCAACTGCAACTGTTCCCGGTGGTCCGACGTCCGCTGTCGTCACAGAATGTCAGAACAATGAGACTCGATGCTAGAGGTTCGACTCTGGTTCTCATTCTCTATCTAGTTCTGGGCTCTCATTCCCGTAAGGTTGAATTAAAATTGCACAATGGTTCCGTTTATTCGGTTTCCCATTTGTTTCCCGATCTCTAGCGTTATATCATCGCACTGCGCAGAAGCGCAGAGCCCATATAAAAGTAATTCATCATAGCTCCGCGCCTCTTGATGCTCTTAAAGATATTATGGAAGCATAGCTAGATCCAGATTCTTAATGTAACAGGAACACTTATAAATATAGAATTCATACGATCTATTGACCTTTGCCTAAAATAAATTGTGTTATGTTTGGATTCGTTTATATATAGCCACCTTTTGCGCCTTACGTCTTGATCTTGATTATATATATATCCATTTGTTAATCTGCGAAAGCAATCCTTATTCAGCAAATCAGTTCAATTAAGACTCGTTAGGTCCATACTACGTATATAGTTATGTACGTAGAGCGACATTCATGCGAAACGTCGCAATTCCGGTCCATTATTTGGGGCCAGACACACGTGCCGCTAACGCGGATAACCCATTCTAATAAGACAATATCAGAGTTTATTTTTAAAGACATAATAGTGCGACCCAGTTTCCGAATTTGAATGCAAATCAGTTGGTTATCCAGCTCCATTTAATGAGACATGTGTAATGTATTTCAGGATTCTTGATAATAGCCTTACAAGCAGGTTACGAGCGGAATTTTCCAATCTTTTCGTATTTGGAACAGCGCTAATTACCATTTAAACTAGGCCTAAAATCCCCGAATTTGGCTATCAGCAGAAATGCCTTGGCATTACAGTGGGACCTTCTGCAAACAGAACAAGGCAAAATTAAAATGTATTGTTCAAGATGCGGGTACCGGGTGGACCAGCGTTTATTAAGCGATATAGTTATGGATATGTAATGTCGGATAAATATGGATAAATATATATTTCAAGGCCCTACAACGCAATGAATATTCAAGCGCCAATTAAGCATGTTTGCGTGGTGCCAAAAAGCTAATTCATGAGATACTATCATCCAACAATGATCCAGTTAGCTGGCAGCAGATGCATTGCCTGGTTCACGAGACTTCGAGCAACTGAACCTGTCCGTGTCGGTTGTTGTTTTTGGTTTCGGGCCACTTTGACGTTTTTAAAAATAGACCGAACGCGCCCCCAAAGCACGACTAGATTCACCCCGCTCCACCCCATCGGATACGAATCCAAATCCGAAACCGAAACCGACAACTTGCCTCCAGCTCACCACCCGAGGCGTCGATCGTTCGCTTTCCGATCGCTCGACGTCGTCGTAGATTTATGTATGGGGGTTTTTTTTTATAAAAATGGAATCGAGCGAAACAGTTAGAAGTATTCTTGTGCTGACTGGCGCTGGTTGTGCTTGTGCTCAGCAGATCGCATTCGGGGATCGCGAGCATATCCTCTCCGCGTAGGGATATTTGTGTATATCAGCCAGCGAACTGCAACAATTTGTACTTACTTTCAAACTCAGACACCGCTTTAATCAGCTGGAACCTCAAGTAATTAGTCTAAGATAAGCGAAAAGAGTTCCTAAAGTGCTATGACCAAGTTAGTGACCATCCAGCTGCTCCTTGCGAGCTGGAGTTGCCTGGCAGTCCTTGCCCAGGCAAAGTCCATCGATTCCCCCATCGACTTCACCACAGACAATGACAACGCCATTGCCAAGGATGTGGACACCGATCCGTTCGACAGTTGGTAAGTGAAACAGCATGGTCCGCAGACTTCCGGACTCTGATCTTTAATTGGTGGTTCTCCGGAGCGTTCATGTATGCAAAGTACCAGCTAGCATTACTATATATGAGTTTCAGCTTGAGTGCTTTCCTTTCCCCAGTCCCATAAACGTGACGAGTTGGATATTCGTGCCTTAGCTATAGTCGTATCTGAGATCAAGAGATTCGATATAACGATAGATACTTTAGACAGGTGTTCACTTAGCAGCACCAGCTGGATACTTGGGCTACAGCGGCTTTAAATCCATTTAATTTGTGAATTATTTGCACTAATTAATGACGTCAGTAGTGTGTGTGTGTGTGTGTACTATATGGGAATAGCCAGTGTTATGCTCTTTAAATGGCGGGTATTAGATAAATTACGTAAGTCATCCGGTACTAACTTAGCAAATACTTAATATGAGGGAAGTGACGACGTGTGAGTTATTAGGTTAATTTTATTATCAAGTGATATAAATAAACCCTATAACTAATAATACTAGGAAATAACTTAAGTTATGCATTGCTTAATACGAAATGCAAGAGGGAGAAATCCTACCTATTTTAAATTTAAATTTAGTTAGCTTTATAAAATATGCCTTCGACAAATATTTTAAAGGACAGAAACACCTGTATTTGGACAATTCAAAAATGTATTACTTGCTTCATTTCCAGTCAAATCTACTGTACTGGTGACTTGTTGCACACCATCCAAACGGCTGTTCCAAAGATTTTCGATGACTCAAAGACGTTTGTGGACATGAAACTGAATTTTCCGCCCGCCAAGACCCTCACGGATTTTGAGGCTCTGATGGATGCCAAGAACAGGACGCCCAGCCGGGATGACTTGATAGAGTTCGTCAATGTAAGTGAATTTTGGGAGCACTGGAAGCAAATAAAAAATGCGATTTGCCTTTGCAGAAATACTTCAGTCCCAAGGGCACCGAACTGGAACTGTGGACGCCCACGGACTGGAAGGAGAACCCCAGCTTCCTCGATCTGATCCCCGACCCGGACCTAAAGCAGTGGGGCATGGAACTGAATAACATTTGGAAGGATCTGGGCCGCAAAATGAAGGATGATGTCCTGAAGAACCCCGAGTACTACTCCATCATCCCGGTGCCCAATCCGGTCATCATACCCGGCGGTCGATTCATCGAGTTCTACTACTGGGACTCCTACTGGATCATCCGTGGACTGCTCTACAGTGATATGCATGACACTGCCCGCGGCATGATCGAGAACTTCATGTCGATCGTTAAGCGGATTGGTTTCATTCCAAACGGTGGCCGAGTGTACTACCACGGCCGCTCCCAGCCGCCACTTCTGACCGGAATGGTCAAGTCATATGTGGACTTCACCAACGACGACTTGTTCGCTATCAATGCGCTGGAGGTGCTGGAGCACGAGTACGAGTACTTTGTGAACAACCACGCGGTGCAGGTTAAGGGTCATAACCTGACCGTCTACCGTGACTCGTCAACGGGCCCGCGGCCAGAATCCTACAGAGAGGACGTGGAGACGGGCGAGAAGTTCGCCACCGAGGATGCTAGGGAGGATCACTACAGCGAGCTCAAGTCAGCGGCCGAGTCGGGCATGGACTTTAGCTCCCGCTGGTTCATCAATGAGAATGGCACCAATGAGGGCAACCTTACACACCTGAAAACTCGCTCCATTGTTCCAGTCGACCTGAATGCCTTCTTGTACTGGAACGCCAAGCTGATAGCCGAGTTCCATGCCAAGGCGGGCAACGTTGAAAAGGTCACCGAGTACGAGAACAAGGCGCAAAAGCTGCTGCTGGTAAGTGAACTCATTGAATAGTCCTGAGTTATATGACTTTCATGATGACTAATGATGAGCATAATTTTCATTACCAATTCCTTGAGATTTTTCTCGTCATAACCGCAGAAAGTCATAAAAATCAATATACTGTCATACTTTATAGGGAAATAAATTAGAACGCATCTTCGCTGGTTGAATGACTAAAATTTTAGTCACTTCTTAGTTCCATTGATGATGCGTTCACTATTTCTCAACATTATAAATAAGGGTTATTCCCATTATGATATTATGAATGGAACTAAGAAGTGACTAAAATTAACAAAAATATCGTGTTATATTAATATAACATTAATTAAGTCTTTTTTTAGAAATGAATAAATAACCTAACCCAATTTCAATCTCCAATTTTTACAGGGCATCCAAGAAGTACTGTGGAATGAGGAGGCCGGCTGCTGGCTGGACTATGACATGATCAACCAGAAGCCGCGTAACTATTTTGTGGCCACCAATCTCTCGCCGCTGTGGGTTAAAGCCTTTAATATTTCCGATACCGAGAAAATCTCCAAGTCGGTGCTGAACTACATTGCGGTTAACAAGCTGGACTCATTTGCCGGCGGAGTTCCCAACACACTGTCCAATACCGGAGAGCAGTGGGACTTTCCCAACGTGTGGGCACCGATGCAGTACATTGTGGTTGAGGGTCTCAACAACCTGAACACCCCCGAGGCTAAGAACTTGTCCAAGTCGTGGGCCATGCGCTGGGTGAAGTCTAACTTTAAGGCTTACAGCGATGACTTCCACATGTACGAGAAGGTAAGCCAAGGGAGAAGGGTGACCATTTACGAAGTAGTTCTATGATTCCTGATTTTGTCATCTAACGCTTCTTTGATTCTCTCCTTTTTTAGTATAACGCCGAAAAGTTTGGAGGACATGGTAGCGGCGGCGAGTACGGCGTACAGACAGGCTTTGGCTGGTCCAACGGCGTGATAATCGAGTGGCTGGCCAAGCACGGCCGCGAGTTGGACAACGGCGGAGGCCGAGGCGGTGCAGCAGGTGAACGTCCGCAATAGAATGAATCTGTAGAGCGAACGAACGCAAGCCGAAACGCTTTCCATCAGACATCACCGTAGTCACCATTGTCATCACGGGCTCCAAGCCAAAGCTCCATCGAAATCTTTGATATCACATGCATATATTTGTAGTTCATGTATAGGAATCCATCCAGAAACGCTCATTTTTGCTCATACTTAGGCTAAGGAAATGCTCTCTCTCTCCACCACCCTGTCTATCCCTATATCTATGCCGCTGTCTGTAACCTATCTCTGTACCGCGAACAATCGACATACCGAGCCAAGCACTGCGAATCACAACGACTCACCAGCACAGTCAGTCAGCACCGGCAGGAAGCAGGATCCAGCATCTGTGTACTCTCTGTTAACCAATGTGTTTCGTCCGCTCCTGTGACTTGTCCAAATTCAAGCAATGTCCAATCAGAACATTAAATGTCTCACAGCAAGCGGAGCAAGCACCGCGCAGTCAAGGTGTGGATTCACGCGTAAGTGTCCAATTGGTTGATTTCTGTTTGTGAATGTCGTCACGCATGTGTACCCCAGCATCAACACCAGCACCAGACCCATGACGGACCAGGCTAACCCCTCACACTTCCTTTACAAAATACAGATTGAGGGTGGCATATAATTGTAAACAAGACTATTGCTTTCACTATTAACTTTAATTTTATGTGCGATTCAAGCATGCCTCAAAAGCTGTACAAAGTCTGCCTAATAACCATGTAATATAATAGAATACTGCCACTATTAACATGTACAAAATACCTTGTAAAGCTATATTTACTGATTTGAATATTTCCCTCTTCCAATCCTGTAGCTTCGCGCGTAATGAGCCTCGTGGGCGTGGCGGCTGTTACCATAGTAGCTCTGATAGCAGGTCGCGTTCTATGGTGAGGTAAGCGAATTTCGATGCGAAATCCCCCTCTACAACCTAATTATCTCTAATTTCTGTTCTTTTCTTTCCTAATCTCTTCCGCAGAGACTCTGTGCCAAACAACCCGTAATTGCTTCCCCAATGCGAATGTGATTCCCCCCATGTGTTTGCGTGTGTAGTGTTTGTTATTGTTCAAGAGATTGCAGTATTAGATTTTCATTATGCGCTAGTTGTTGAAGCGAGAGTTGTACATACAGAATTTACATGGGCATGCCCGACGTTGTTATTAATTTTTAAATATAATTAGAAAATACCTAAGCCAATCCTAGCTCCTCGCAACCAAATGAAGACACAAATACAATTGTTAAACTAATTTTTTGGAATAAACAAAATCCCAAACAAACCCTTCTTTGTTGCATGACTCGAGCCAAGTATGCCTTTCGTTTAATTGTTGCTTCCTCTCTTATTGCAGGCGAAGTTGGTTTAAGTAGACACAACAAACAAACACAATTTGTTTTTAATTTGTATATTTGCTTTGAGTTCAATTCAATTATGAAAACTTACCTACGACAAAAGCTTATAGACAACTAAGTGATTAACATAAACGGAGCACAGAGGTACGTTGAAATCGGAAAATAAAACATTGGCGAAAGTGGATATGACTCGACCTAAGACGGCAAATGGAAAGGTTTGACCCCCAAATCGTAACTGTAATAAAGGAGCGGCGAAACAGAGCAGTGCACACAATAACTAAGGCTCATAGCCCGGCTGCCTAGTTGGACTGATGATGCTGTCCCTGCTGCTGCTGCTGCGCCTGCTGCGGCGCCTGTCCCTGGCTGAAGTAGGGAGCCGTATTTGGCGTGAGCAGCGTGTGACAGATATCACAGACTCGGGCCACACGCTTCCGTGGCCCCGATGGCACCGTTTTCGTTAGACACTTGTCGCAGTAGATGTGACCGCAGTGCCGGCAGTGGATCTTTCGCACCATGACCGTAAAGCCGGCGTTGCACATGGGACAATTGGTCACATCATCGTCGTCCTGCCAGCGCACCTCCGTATCAGCGTGCCGCAGCTCCTCCAACGACATCTTAAAATGTACATAAATATTCAAGTGAATAAACCATATTTTTATATTTTTAATGCACTCACCTGCAGGGTTTGAGATAGTTTCACAAAGTCCTTCTGCACGGTCTCCATGGTGGAGAGTTCCTCTTGCAGCGTTTTTATCTTTGTCTTGTATTCCGAGTTGGTTTTGGCATACTTCTCCTGCGAGAAAGAGAGCGGTTAGAGGCGAAACGGGCTGCAATATCACCGCTACTTACATTGGCCTCCTGCAGTTCAATGATTTCCACGCGACACTCGGACAACTGTTTGTTGAGCTCAGCCTCTTTGCGCTCCAGTTGGGTTTTAGTCGTCTCGTGCGCCTGCACCGTGACCAAGTGCTCCGTCACACGATCCCTGGGAATGCAGAGCAAGCATTAGTGCTACACTATTCGGGTACTGAGCTTATATACTTACTGCAATGACTTAATGTCTAGTTGCATTTTGCGCTTATAGGACCGACGCTCGTTGTTGCTCTCTTCCAGCTGGGCCCGCAGGATCTGAGTCTCGTCCAGGGTGCTCAGACACTTCTGTCGCTCGTACTCGCTGCTGAGACGGGCCTGGATCAGCTCGTTTTGCTGGCGCAGAATCAATTCCTGCAGCTCGACGACCGTGTTGGGCAAATTGATGTACTGATTCTCGATCTCCTCGGACGTGGCCAAATAGCGGCCGGACAGGAAGTCATTGTCCGCCTGCAACGTCTCCAGCTGCTTGTTGACCCGCTCCCTGTCATCGGTGACCCGCTGTATCTGCTTCATCACCTCATCCTTGGTCTCGAGGAACTTCTGCTGCATGTCCAGCAGTCGCTGCTCGTTCGTCTTGGCCTGCTCGCGCAGACTTTGTACTTCGCTCTTGTGGGCCTCGCGTTTCTCCTGCCACTGGTCCTCCAGCTCCTTACGCAACGCCGCCTCTTTTGCCATAGACTCGCGGGACTCTGCCAGCTGCTTTTGCAGCAACTCCACCTGTTTCTGTTGCTTCTTTATGTGTGCGTTTAGCTCCTCGTCTCTTTTAGCCGCCACACTGCAGGCCTCGCAGCTTGATTCGGGCACATCCATGGACGTTGACTTGTGCATGGCCGATGCATCGTGTAGCGAGGACTCCTCTTTGCTGACTGCTAACCGGGCCTGCAGTTGCTCATCCTGCTCGCGCAACTTCACCTTTAGAGCCTTCATCTCCTCCTGCAGCTGCTCTACAATCGAGTGCAGCATTTCCGCCTCCTCAGAAGGCTAGAAGAAGGTGAATTATTACAAATAAACTCAGGGTTCAACTATTGCACTTACAAATTGCTTTCCATTGCCACTGCCTTTGCCCGCTCCCCGATTGTCATCCTCTTGCTGAAAGCTACTGTTCAGCGAATCGCTGCCCAGCTTGCGCACCGAGCCCAGCGTCTTCTTAACCTGATTCAGCACTTGGGGCGCAATGCCGCCGGATGACTCAGCTTGCGGCTGCTGAGCCAGGGTCTGCGTTTGTTGGTGAATCTGCTGGTACTTGGTCAGCTCGACCTTGAGCCGCTCCAGCTCCGCCTTGTAATGAGAGGACTCCTCAATGGTGTCCTGCACTAGCTGCTGCAGCGAAGAAATCTCCTCTTGGGCCTTAATGTCCCTCAGCTGCATCTCGTTCTCCGACTTGAGGTCCGCCACCATGATGTGGGTCTTCAGCTCGTCCAGTTCCGCCTGCAGCTGCCTGCGCTCGGCCTGGCTCTGGCTGACCTCCGCCTCCTTCTGTATGTACAGCTCCCGCATCTTGGCCCGCTGCGTGTTGAACTCGTTTTGCATTTTACGCATCTCGGCTTGCAGGATAATTAGATTGTGCTGGCTGGGCGCGTCATCTTCACCTAAAGAACGAATTTGGCGTTATTAATGGAAAGCTCCTGGCTGCCGCTTACCATTAGCCGGCTCCGCGGAGACTCTGGCTTCCGTATGGGTCTCATTTTCTTCCATTTTCTATAATAAACGAAGACTAATTTGTTAGTTTATATGTACATTTGTATGTAAAGAGCAGTCAGAACTCGTGCGTGTTGGGCAACGCCCGAAGTCGCCAGAACATTGGAATTAGTCAACACTAAGTGATTATTCGTGTGACCGAACTTAAAAAAAAAAAAAAATTAAAAAAGTTGAAAACATAAAAATTTAGGAAAAAAGATATACTCAATAAAACTACTTAATGTTAAATTAAAGTTTAATAAAGAAATAATTTGAATTAAAAAAGCATTTCTATAACCCTGGGTTCGTCCATCTAGTATTAAAATTCTGCTACGTTTAGTATTAAATTAATTTTGAAATTAACCGTTACTTTTTGTGGAAACTCATCTAAATTTTAAAAATATCCCCTCTTAATTTTAAAAAATTGAAACGAATTTTAATTTTAAAAACGTTCAAAATCAGTTTGCAGATTTATAAAGCTTATAAAAATAATTATTTTAAGAACATTAAAGAATTTCTTGACTTGACTAAAAATGTCCAAAAAACCAGTGATTGCCAAAAGTCATAAGTTTTCAGACTCGCATTAAAATCATTATTCATTAAAAATGAGAATAAATTATACTAAATTAAGGTCCTTTAGATAAACGGAATCCGAGGAAGGTGGTTTATTTGTTTAATTTTTGAATTTGAAGCCATATTCAATTCTTTAAAAATCTTGGGCCAACCTTTAGGTACGAGATTCAGGTGGCATTCTATAAAGTTCCAATTTGGGAACAATCAGGATGTTTCAGATAAATTACATCACAAGATTTTAGGAGCTAACCATAGAACCATCCGATATAAAAAAGAACAGAAGTGTCTCGAAGTCGTCAAGTGGAGTTCTGAATTAATTCGTCCATTTTACTATAAGCTATATGAAACTTTTACCATATATTCTTAAGATATGGGACATGTATAATAAAAAAAAAGTAAATACAAAAATATAACAAAATGAAATACCATACCCTTAATTTGTCTAAGCGATTCTTTTCCAGAAATATTTTATTTTTGTGCCTTTATACAAATATTTAATATTGCTATTTAAAGCCCTAATAACCTAACTTTACAACGTTTTCTTTACAAATTCATCACTGTGTGTCTTGACCTAAACAGGAAAGACTTAAAGTTAAGCAAATATAAAAATATGATATATTTGTATGTATGTAATGCATACGAAGGTGTTACTATATAAAATAGGCTATATATCATAATAATTTATAAGAAGATTTCTTATTTTTTGGCAACTCAATAAGAGCTTCCCAGAAAGTAGATATATCACCACAAGTGGAAACGACTCTTAGACGCTATTCTATGAAAAGGCCAATGACTACCGGACACGAATGACTAAGCCCCCTCATGGGTCTATGAACTACACACATTGGTCTCGAAATTTATGCAAATTACATATTAAGCGACCAAAAGCGAGAAAAAGTTTCAATAATGATAAATTATGCTAGGGAAAAAAGTAAATTCATTAGTGTCAGACCACAGCTAAACGCCAATGCGAAAACATTTGTCTAAATAAAAAACGGAGGAAATATGGTACGTATGTAGATATGTATGTGGTTTTGCGGGTCAACTTAGTGATATCAGAAAAACTACGCATTACCCAAATCAAAACTCGCTTTCAAAATTACAGCAGCGACGTCGGAACCCCAGCAACAATTAATCAGCTACCACGCTGAGATCAGTTCGTGCTTCCTTTCCTCGGTTAGCCGTTGGGAATCTGTGAGCTCATGACTGGGGATGTCGTCATTGTCAGCTGGCGGAGATTCGAGGCGGATACAAATACAAAGGCACTGGCAGCGACAGCAGCAGCAGCAGCAGCAGGCGGCAGCGACAACAGCACCGATGTTGGCCAAAATGCTCGCTTCAGTTCAGTTCGCATTGGATTCAAGAACGAGGCGGTCGGAAGCGAGGAGAGCTGGCTAGCAGCAGCAGCATCGGGAAAATACGCGGAGAAAAACAAATACGCGGCGACGACGACGGCAATTCTACTTATAAACTTAAAAATAATACATAAATATATAAATAAATTCGTATGCGAGTGAGTGCGCGGAACTGAAATTATGGCGAGAAAGTGTTCAATGATTTGAGTGACAGTGACAGCACTCTACCCTTTAAGATCGTTCTTAAAGCCAAACCAAGTCCAAGCCATAGAAAAAACCGTGAATATCCCTTACTTAATTATCAGTTCAAAGATTCCGGTATACCATGTCGCAGGGTCAAAACCCCACGCCAACACCCGGCACACCGCCACCCTCGCGAAGGGCCAACCGACCGCCGCGGATCAACATTCACAATCTGAATAGCGGCTCGGCTATGGGCCAATCCTCCATGCCGCCCAGCGCCCAGCCTCCCTATACGGCGCAGACAAACTACGGCACACAAGGTCCTTACTGGCCACCAGTGGCCAATCCCTTTGGATCCGGCAACTTTATGACCAAGGGCTACGAGGGATTCCTAGATCTCACCAAGTCGGGCATGAGCTTCGGCGAGAAGTTCACCTTCGGCCTGTACAACAAGTTCAGCCAGTGGTCGCGCCGATGGTTCACGCACATGTTCCTGCTCTTCGTTCTGGGTCTCTACAGCGTTGGAGGCGCCCTCCTCTTTCAGACCATAGAAGGTACATACCTTAGACTCTAAAGTCTTGAGGGTAACTTAGAAGGTGACTCAGGCTAATAGCTTATCAGTCGCAGATGAAATGTTTCATTTTGCGAGTCCACGTAGTCGACTTCCTCTACAAGCTTTCATTAGGTCTCCGGACGAAGACTGCACTAAACGCCTTTGTTTGCTGATCAAGCTCTTCGGCAATTGTTTGGAAAACAGTAAACATTTCGCAGTGATTCGGGTAAATACACCTGCTGCCGAATGTCTGAGCCAAATTGTAATCGTAAAAACACGCCCCATCAGTTTGGCAGACGACTGAATCAGTCGGTCCACAGAATAGGTGAAGGTACAATCGAATCTCGGAGATAGACATTAATGAATCAACAACAATGTGTCGTATAAACAACCAGGTTTGAGATGATTAATGGGCGGAAGGAGAAGACTTGCCGAAATGGGGTTTTCTCCATTGGCAAGTGAGTGTGAGTGGGGGGGGTGGAGGGTATAGAATGCAAATCCACCTAATGGATCTACATAGTACATAGTGCATTTGGTGCAGGCTCTAATTTGGAAAGCCAAATTCCTTTGATTTATGGCAACCAAGCGCGAAAATGTCTTGGCAATGCTCCATACAATTTTCCTTTTCTCTGGGCGAAAGTTAAGGAGTACACTCGGGTCAAGGTTACTTAGTTATACTTACTAAATAAGGATTTTCACGCTTTCAGTGCGACAGGGAGAGTTGGAGAAGCTGGAGCTGCAGGCTTTGCAGAAGCAATTCTTTGAAGAAATGCGCAAGATGACCAGGGATCCACAGCTGAGCGGGGTAAGCTGGCACTCTATGAAAATGGAAAAATATTAATTTCTATGCCTACATTTCCCAGTGGTCAAAAACCGAGTTCGACAGTCAAGTGCTGCGCATCATAAATGATCATCCATCCGTGGTGGAGTCCCTGCTGAGAAACGGACTGGCCGAGAAGCCGGATCCTTGGTCCTTCTGGAACGCCATGGTCTACAGTTGCACCATTTACACGACTATAGGTGAGTTGGGGGCAACATTTTCAAGGGGTCCAAGTGTGTTGTGGGTGCAAAAACGCCCACGCAGGAAAAATATGTTTGCTTAGGTCGCCAGACTATCTATTTATATGTTTTGCTGTTCCTCTTCATTATTAAACCAACAAAATATGTGACACAAAAGATGGAAATAGTTTTAAATATTATGGTTGTTTTTTTTTTGAGATCTTCGTCGTAGGCGCTTGTGCGTGATAAAAAATCGCGTCTCTTATTGTGCAGACAGTTATGAGAGAGCTCTCGAGTGGCGTCGGAATTCTTTGGAATACTGTCACTGTTCTTAATTGGGGACTTATAAATAACTCGACACGGCAGAGCACGGCACAGCCTTTCACCTCATTCGAATTTTCCCAAAAATGTTCTCCTCGGCGGTACACACATTTGCAATAATTTCACTTTTAATTTGCGAACGACTTCACGCCCATAAACATGCCACGAAAATGGAAATTAATTCGCCCGAACAAATCTACCGCTAAGATTTTGAATGATGGTTTTGTTTCGTGGAAATTATGTTTAATTTTTGTGATGCGGTTAGCTAATGGCTTGATAGCCCCCTTTTTATTCGATTAACATGCTTAGCGGCTTTAGTGTCGTCTCTACTTTGCAGGCTCTTTTTTTATATTTCGGATGGTGGAAAGCATATTTCTAGTAAATATATTCTGACCGCTCGGTTTCTCTTTTGACAAGTTTCCAAAACAGCAGACAAGTAGTAATCCCGCGACTGTGTGGAAACACAAAAGCAATTAACACAAATATCTAAATTATGGCCCCCTCTACGAGAGGACACAGAAATGCGAATTTCGGATTGTGAGTGCTTTGAGTACACTCATATGTCAGAATTGGCACAAGATGTAAGCAAAACATCATCATCAGACGCCTGAGGGATGCATATTATAAACACTGCAGTTAATTTGAAATCGAGAGGGACTCTTCACTTGGGTAAAACATTTATATTTAGATACCATAATGTCACGAAAATATAACCTATTTACCGTGAGACACCTTATGAAAGATTGAAATAAATTGTCAATTGTCTGAATTTCTAGCAGAAAGTCTCAAGTGATTTATGCCCAAAGTAAACACTAAGGCGAACTGACCATTAAACCGGAGAGCACTTCATAATTCCCAGCCAAAAGCAATATCATAAAACTGTTGCTGCCGCTATTATAGCAACGCTTAGTGAAGCCATTCGACGGCCGACAAGTTTAATAAAATGGTGCATGCCCAAATGGAAAACAAATCGCGAAGGCAATTCCAAAATGTTGAATGAAATTGCGGGAAATAAACAAACACAAAATCGCAGCGAAATTCCATAAAAGCGAATACGATCCGTCATCAACGATTCCGAGGGGAGAAGAAAAGCTGCTGAAAGGGGGTACTGTAAAGTATCTGATGAAAATTTTAGCAGAGCTTATAATTTATGCGAAAATTCAGAGTGTCGAAATGGTCTATAACAACAATGACGTCACCGGGAAAAATGATAAAATACGAAAAGTCCAACAAAATATAACATTTTGACAAATCTTTTTCAATAAATATTCGTTTCGCTGCGCGAACAGCTGCAAATTAAACAAATTATATCCAAGAATCGAACAGCTAGCTGGTGGAAAACGGAAGGAAACCCCCATACCCAGTATTGTTAAGCATTTTAAACAAAACCCCAAAGAATTCATACAATTTCAAGGGAATTCGGATGATGCTTACATAAATCTGATAAATTATAATTCCATAAAGCTTTTGAGTACGGTTCAAACTTCCGGTGGTCATTGGTTATATATTTTGTATAATTTGCCTGCTGTAACTTGTAACTTCAGTAAAGAATTGGCAAAAGAATCCTAGCTATAAACACATTTTAAATATTATTTATATGTACTTGTAAAAAGTTTTTCTTTTTATCAATACAAATCAAGTGGGTACTTGTTGCTAAGGCTCCCAAAGCAGCTTCTTTTTTATAAATTAATAATTACTTAAAATGGTAGAATTACAATTTAAAATCATTCTTTAAATTGAGAATTGTTTTACAATAAAAAAATCATTTTAATTCAATTCAAATCAAATTCTTTTAATTCAAATCTAAAATATTTGAGCTAAAAACCTAGAAATAGTTCAATGTTAATTATGACATAAATTTGAAAACAATTCTCCAATGGTTCATAATTATGTTCCAATAAATCAATAACTTTGTATTTTGGAAAATGTCTGTCAAATTGTTAGGCTCTCTAGAATGTTTTCATATTATTTTAAGGGTTGCAATGTCTTGACTAGGGCCATAAATATAAGAACGCCCTAGGATATTCATAAAAATAAATTATAGAAAAATACTTGTCATTGCAATGGCTTAATTTCCTTTCATTTCACCTCTCAAAAATCTATCTAAAATCGCCATCTATGTTTTGTTTTTAATTTTAAGCTGTGTGGATCTGCTCGTGATCTTTAAAGCTTTTACAGTGGTCTGAATCCTATATAAATCTTAAGAATCTGCTTGCATATTAAAGATAGATAGAGTTTAGTATTGTTGGATTTATTAGAAACGAAAGCAGGGAAATTAAACAGAAATTCTCAAAGGGAAATACAAGCATTTTTGGTAGTCTTTGAAAATAACGTGGATCAGTATGATCTTTTTAAACAAAATATTAGTTTTGCAAAACCAAATAGGACTATACTTATTAATCAAACTTATTAAGAACAATAAAAATAAGTACTCGTTGAGGTGAAGATATAACAAACCTAATGACATATATAAAATATAGACGATATAGATATATATAAGACACAGAAGTAGAAGAAGACACAGAGAGAATCCCTCACATCGGTAGATGCATCGCATACCACAGATACTTTCCAACATTTGTGGCTATAAGCGAACAGCTGTTTGGCAGCAACGAAAATATAGACAACAAAAGTGAAAATGAAAATTTGAATTTTCCACTCGCTCTCAGCAGTTGGATGCCAGCCGTGGTCGAGTCAGCGAGCACTCAAAAAAAGAGCAATCTCTCGGTTCGCGAAAAACATCTATAGAATCCGATACAGATACAGATTTTTTCGTATATGTAACCGCAACTGTCAAGTGATACAGGATACCTCGAGTTCGAATTCCACTTAGTACAGAACACGTCAAGCTTGAGGCAACTGCATCTCGGTTTAAGGGAGACCCCAGCAGGGTTCACTGCAGCCAAAAGTGATATAATTACCCCGAGGCATAATTAGCGGAATATGAAGGCCTCGTTGGCCCGTTAAAAATAGACGGCCAGAGCATGAGCGCGAGCACAAAGATAGATCGTGAAAGTAGCACACGACAGCGGCTGGACATGGACATGGAGCAGGCGGCGGAGGCCAGACACCAGCAGCGCCACCGCCGACGGCTGGGACGTAGCCAACGCGAGCCCACGCCCGTCACCGATTTCCAGATGCAGGGCGACCTGAGTCCGGCCAGAGGCGACCCCCTCTATCCGGATCCCTCGCCGCAGATGGTCCGCATGCAGATCCGACCGCCAGGCACTCTGTCCGCCCACGAGAGCAAGATCCTGCGGAAGCGGGACAAAAGCTTTGCCACCACCGCGTCGCGCAGTCATTCGCAGCCACGGGAGGCGGAGAGGCTGAGCAGTCCGGATGCCCACCAGCTGATCAAGCACCGCAGCTTGTCATCGCCGCGCCACAAAGAGGAGTCCAGCGAAAGCGAGATGACCACAGGCAGCAGCAGCCAACAGCAGCAGAAAATGCCCACTGTCAGTCTGGGCCAGACTCACGACACCCTCACCCGGCTGGAGCAGAACCTGCAGCGCTTCGAGGATGAGCGCCGGCGCTTTGATGCCGAGAAGCGGCTGTTCGAGCGCGAGAAGCGGGAGCACAAGATGCGCCACCGCCAGCAGCTGGACAACGAGGAGCGGAAGCGCCTGCTGCAGAGCTACCGCAAGCTCAGCGATCGCATTCAGCTGCCGCAGGACGAGGAGGAACGCCGTCGTCTCATCCACAGCCTGCGCCTGCAGCGGCATGAGGCGCCCAAAGTCCGCGGCCGCAATCGAAGTAGCGGCTACGAGGAGTCCTCCACGCAGTTTAGTTCCTCTGATGCAGAGCCTGCGGAGGAGGTCCATCCCCGGGCACGACCACTCAAATCAATGCCGGGTTATGTGGCTGCTCCAATTCGAGGAGCTCCGCCGCCGCCTCCTTCTGCTCCCCTAAAGCCCCCGGAAAGAGTTTCCGTGAGCAGGAACAACTCTCTGTCACCCGTGAGACCACAACGTCGTTCCAAGACACCAGAGCAGCGAGAGGAGATCCTTCGCAAGCACGAGTACGTGGCAGTGGGGGAGACCAGGAGCGAGGTCATCAAGCCCCGGGAAACAGAAGCGGAGCAGCAATCGGACCTCATGAGGAAGTACATGGAGGCGGCAGAGCGGGCGGCCAAGGCGGAGGCAGCTTTGGCAGCGCAAAGCCTCTCGGCAGAGGGAGTGCGTCGAAGCCATAGCTTGCGGCTGGTGGAGAAGGAGGAGAAGTCCCCGAAAACTGAGGCTAAGCGTAGCTCCAGCCTGGAGCGCCCCTTGAAAGCTAAGCGATCGGACAGCTTGGAGAGGGGAGAGAAAGTTCTAAAAGTAGAAAGTACCACTCAGTCATTAGAAGATCCTGAACCGCATCCCGAACCAGAAGCTGAGCTGACTGTATCCTTACAACAAGAAGACGAAATCCCAAAGGCATTAGAAGTCAAGCCAACCCTTATGGAGCGCCTTAAGAACTGGTTTGGGCGCAAAAAGAAGCTTCCCACTGAAGATGTCACGGATCTGGCCACACAACCTCTGCCGGAGAAGATTGCCTCGCGGGCATTCCTTTACCACTTCCGCCTGGAGTCAGGCCACGAATGGCGGCGCCTCAAGCTGGACTACCCACAACGGGTCGAGGAGATGCGTCGGCTGCGTAACCATTGTGTCTCGCACTGCATATGCCTGGCCATGCTCCTGGGATTCGGAGGACTCCTCTTCCGGTACACGGAAGGAGCCTCGGAGAACATCTACAAGTGCGAGGTGCGCAAGGTGAAGCGCGATTTCATCGACAACCTGTGGGACGTCAGCCACAACATGAGGTATGGCTGGTTAAGTACCCGGAAGGCTGGTGCCGCGAGTGACCTGTTTGTATCTTTGTCACAGAGAGGATGACTGGAAGTCCCTTGCGCGCCAAAAGTTGCGTAAATTCGAGGACGAACTGAACACTCTGGCCGAGCTGGGCCTGCGGCGTTATCCCGGCCAGAAGTCGTGGAACTTTATCAATTGCTTCATCTTCTGTTGGACCGTAGTCACCACCATAGGTAACAGGGATAGAGAAGCCATCGATGGAAGGTTTATCCTTAATCTTTTTGAAGGAGAAGATCTTGTTCTTATTACCAATAGTTTTAATATTAAGTTAGTTTTAAGTTATTAAATCATTCAATTTAATATTTAATTTTCCTCTATTCTGTCTTCCATAGGTTACGGTCACATCACTCCAAAGACGAACCTGGGACGCTCCCTGACCGTTATATACGCCATCATCGGCATACCCATGTTCCTGATCGTCCTTGCCGATCTGGGAAAGCTCTTCACGCGCAGCGTCAAGTTCCTGTGGGCGTATGTGCGGCGCGTTTACTACACCCGCTCCTGTCGGAGGATACGGAAGCAACAGCAGATCCGAGATGCCATGACAGGGTTCAACACTGTCTACGACATGGCCATCCGGCGACCCAGCATGTTCTTCGGCAAGTCCGACGAGAATGAAGAGGAGTCGCAGGATGCAGAGGCAGGCCGCTCGCTGGGCACATCTCACCCCGAGACGCCCACATCTCCGTACCCCGAGACCTTTGAGGTGGACGATGAGTTCAATTTACCCGTGTCTGTGGCCTCTCTCCTGCTCATATCGTACATCCTGCTGGGCACCGCCGGCTACGTTATGGTGGAGTCGGAGTGGCAGCCCCTCGACGCCTTCTACTACGTGTTTATCTCGATGTCCACCATCGGCTTCGGCGACCTGGTGCCCAGCAACCCCATCTATCTGATGGTCAGCATGATCTACCTAATCTTCGGCCTGGCCCTGACCTCCATGTTCATCAACGTGGTGCAGATCAAGCTCAGTGACCATTTCAAGCGGGCCAGCGCCAAGGTGGGCGCCACCATCGGCATGAACATGGCCAGCGAGTTTGGCGACGAGGGCGGCTCCCAGGTGAAGACTCCCTCCGAGCTGGCCTCGGTGCATGGATCGCGTCTGGACAGGATCGAGGAGGATGGTCATGAGGCCAATGGTCACTCGCCCGTGCCTCCACTGCCCTCCATCTTGAGAACACCGCGTCCCCTGTCGCCAGCGTTTAACGGAGCGGAAGCCAATGGAAACCGCGATGCGGATGTGAGTCCGCCGCCTTTGTTGCCCAGACGTCAGGTGTCCGTGGAGCCCCAGCCGCCGGCGGAGGGGGAGAACAAGAAAAAGAAGAAGCACAGATTCTTCTAGAGCCTGCCTGACAATGTTAACCAGTAAGGAACCTCACAAATGACATGGCATCGAATTTACGAAAACCTCTGCACACACACATTATTTATTATTATTTGTTATTTAATTTTACTTGTCACCATCGTAGGCTAAGTCTAAAGTTAATTAAATAAAACATGACAGTTGATAAAGGATTTTAAATGAATTAAGAATGGAATAGGTAAGTCAAGAAGTCATGTAAGCTTTCCTTGTGGTATGGAAACTCCTGTCACTGTTTAGTTAAATAGTAATTGCAGAAAATATATATTTTCCTGGTTTTATAATGAATTTGAGATAAAATTTAATGTCTTAAAATGTAGGAAACATATATATAAATATCGATTAAACATTTTTAAAGTAATTAAGTCACTAATCAATTAAGTCCCTCTTCGTTAGTGTCCCATACAGAATGCAATTATCAAATGCATGTGCGAGCGTTGGATACTTTGTTCGGGAATTCGTCTCATAATCCCAGTGAAATCCATGCCAGAGAGAGGCAAGGACTTTGGCAGGGACAACAGGACGCAGCGTCAGGATACAAATCCAAGTGCACTCGGCAGCTGCACATCCGTCCGTCACAGGAGTGGAAGAGGCAAGGAGGCAGCGGCGGTACGCTGAGTTGGGAGAGCAAAGAGTGCTCGCTCTCTCAAACGACAGGACAACTCGGGTTCGATTGTCGCTTCGGCTAGCGTTCGTGTTGCTGTTTCGATTCCACGGCGTTCCCCTAGGGTGGAGTAGAGTCCTTTGAGTCCTGGACGCCAGTTGTTGTTTTGACAGCGTGCGGTTCGGTTGGGACGTCGGATTACTTTGCTTTTGCTCCTTTACCAACAAAAGAGGCGCCAAGCCAATCAATTGACAAATATTCTACCAACTCAGTGGGCACAAAAGAGGCAGTGTTGTGCGAAGATTGTCACAGCTGTGTCTATACTTCTGGTGACTCAAGAAGAGCGTGAAGAAAGCAAACATTTAGTGCCTCCGATCTCTCGAATCGATCGCGCCGGAAGAGCGAGTGGCCGGCTGCTCCCTTCAGTCTCTCTTGTCGCTCACAAACACCCCTTGCCGTTGGGTTTCTGGTGTCGCGTGTGCCGCCAGCCACAAACTACAAGCTACAATCGGCAGAATACCATATATACCATATATACGAGTTGCACGCTACACCCCGCCACCAGGTGTGCGCCTTGGACTTGGCCGATTCTTTGGGTTCTTGCTTGGCACGGCGGCCCTTGTTTCGGTTTTTGTTTTGTTTTGCTGCATCCATTCGTCGTCGAAGATTCCTTTCACAACGTTGCACCCCAGCTGTCGTCCCGAAATCCGCCAAATGACGCCCGTCCGCAGTTGATTGGAAATCACTGTGCCACATAGATTGTCCCCTGGAATTTTTAGCAAAACTCGCCAACATGTCCGCAATTAGCAGTCGCAACCAGAAAATGGAACAACAGGTAAGAGTTATTTACGAGGAGTGACTTTCTAGAATACAGAAGTAGTAGGTCAAAGTAGGGGATTATGTCTAAGGAAGTACATATATTTCCTACTTACTGTTGGGTGTTTATTTAAACTATTTTTACATCATATGACTCAATTATGTTTCTCAATTGTGCACAAAAAATATTTATATTTTTAGCAAAATAATTCTATACACTGCAAACCTATAAAGATAGCTATACTTAAAGCTTTATATAATTTTCGCAGAAGGAAGATAATATAAAATATCTAGAATCATATTTACAACTCCGTTTAAATAATGATTTTCGTATATTAATTATTCTTAGACTCTCTTTATAGAATTCTCAACTTTTCAAGGTTTTGTTTTATGAAAAAGAACATTGACATTGAAAATGGGAATATAAAAAGTATCATTAAGTTTGTGAAAGATCCCCTTAAACCCACCTTTTCTATGTTTAAAAAGCTATAATATGTTCATAATAAGAAATACTCCTTTATTCGAATTAAAGAATATTGAATAATTCGAATAGAAAACTATTGAGTAATATTACTCTTTTTTATTCGGATGCACCTGTTCTTTAGACATTAATATAAATTTAAAGGCATCCGAACCTCGGACGAATCATCATTTGAACAAACTTTAGATTACGATTTGAAATCGAACCCAATCCGGCCCAGTCCATGTACCGTGAATGATCCGAGGGGATTACGAGAGTTACGTCTCCATCTTTGAAGTCAAAATATTGAGCATTTAGATTGCTAGAAAGTATATATAGAAATAGATCATTTGTAATTGTAAATCATATGGAATATATAATTATCTTTCTGCATATACAAGTTTAGTATACAACAAAATAAAAAATTCGGTTTATAAAACGGCATGAGCTGCACTTAAAATATTTTGTGGAACAAAATTTCTTTTTTTATAAGAATAGTATAATTGGTCTCAATAAACTTTTAAAATGTGTATTTAACATACCTTTCAAAACAAGACTTGTACCACCAAGCCCCCAAATGGTACTGGGCGCAATGTTTTTCCCTGCTGGCATCGTTATCCCGATCGAATGTGGAGAAGGCCTGGCCCTTGTGGTAAATTAGCGAGTCGCCGGCGGTGCCGGTGTAACTGCCCAGGACCTTCAGGTGATAGCTTTCCGACTCGTTGCCAATGGAGAACTCCTCATATTTGGCAAACTTAGACACTCCGCCCTGGTTTTCTATATGAACGTACAGCTCGAAAGGCTGGTATGCCGTCAGCAAATGCAGTTTTTCCAGACCAATAAAAAAGTCTCCGTTGAGGCTGCCGAATCCCGCCTTGTAATCACTCCAGTCCCGGTAGAAGTTGACCAGACCGTCGCGTCGCCTCTGAATGACCAACCAGCCTTGACCGGCCAACTCAGAGTCGCAGAGCGCCGCGAAAGCCGGGTGTCCGGGCACCTGAACTATAACACTCGAGTTGTGATTGTTTCTAATCAGGCAAGAGGTGGGGTAGATGCCCTCATCGCCCTGTGTGATTGCCTCTCTCGTCTGCTGCAGTGATTGCCGGCGGGCCTCCAAGCTGATAGGTGATAAGAGAGATTAATCCCGGACTGATGGGACTTCCTTATAATACTCACTCGAGCAAAAGTTTATCAACAGAAGCTAGTATGTCCGCCGAAGCCTTAAACTCCTAGGAGAAGAGTAAAGTTATAGCCTGCGCGGATCACTTCAAGGTCTTTAGCTCACCTGCTGCACTTGAACGGAGGTTATCGTCTCTGATACTCCCGTAGATATGAACAGCGATGCAATAGCCACAAGGGCTATAAAGGCACTTGCATAATACATTTCTGATTTCTATGGAAGCTGATAAGTTGTGCTATAGTCTGATCGCCCTGCCGACACCAACTGAGCTTAGTAAAGCTTTTTCTCCAGCTTATAAGGGTCTCAGGCAGATAAGAGCTAACTAATCTTGGGAAGTCCCTTCTTTGAAGCTGGTAAAGAAAGATTAAGTGTTACCAGAGGCTAAAGAAAAATATATACATATTCAAAGCACATTATTTCATAGAACATAAAAATCGAACTTTAAAGTCTGAAAAAGTATTCTAAAAAATATTAAATTTTTGCAAGGGCATGTCAACAATGCCATTCTCCCGCTCTTGTTTTCAATGCCAGCGAGGAATGGTGAAAATGTTAAAAGAGAAAAGAAAACCAAACTTTTCTTTTGCAACCTGCGCAACCCCTACCAATCCCTATAAGCCGGAAGGGTCCAGCACCCACTTTTCCCGGCCTTTCAACCGAAAATCTGACCATCTCGACGACACCAAAGTACCTCAACGCCTTTTCCGAATCGCTTTGTTGTGCCCAATGCCTCGTGGCCACCTGGCCGTCTGTTGCCCGGCAACGAGGTCCAAATAAATCGAAGCCAACCGCCGAAGGCTTCCGGGTGGTGGGGCTTGGCTTGGGTTGTGCACTGACTGCAGCCAGAAGGGCCTGTCATTGGCCCTAATTATGTTGGTGGCACGGTCTGCGATCCTGCCCATATCTTACGCCCAAATCGAACCACTTCGATGTGGTTGCCAAGTGGCTAGTTGGAGGTCCTTCGAGCTGGTTCGATTTCGTGTCGTGCTGGCTTATGAAACATGCAAAAGCTTTTCACGGCTCGTCGAGGCTCCTTAATGGCAGGACCGCATGAAAGCATAATTCCAAGACAACTTAGAGCCAAACGCAATTGTCCAGAACAAATGTTTCGATGGGGATTTCATATCGATAGAAATTTAATTGATTTAATGCTCTTATTTGGTCAAGCAAACAGAATTGGTCTAAAGAAATACCAGGGATTAGATTGGTATTCCTAAAGTTAAGCTCCAAATATGGGTAGAAAATATGCACATTAATTTTCTAGCAAATGCCCAGTCATGCCGAAGCATAAAAACCCTGGCAAGGATTGCATTCACCATTCATCTCTCTGGACAAACGCTGGGGTAATTTCCTCGAGTTAAAATAAACCCAAATTTATTTCGGCCATAAAAAAAGGAAAAGGGGGTCACAAAGTGAAAAGGAACGCTGGAGCCAATTTGCACTTGGCATAAATCAACAGGAAGATATATGGCCGTCAACTCATAAAGCGGTCGCTAAATATACACAAAGGATTAATGAAGACTTCGGCCTGGACTCCCCCGCACCAACAGGACTGAATGTTGTTGTTTGGGTCCTGCGTAACTACGGGCAACTGTCACACACACATCCAGGATACTTGGGACATAGACAGACAACTAGAGAAATATGAACAAAACGAGTATTTAGTATTGTTTTCATGTTTACCGTCGCCCATGGAGTAGCGTTAAGCGAGGAGGCCACAAAATCGATGGCAGTCAGCGTCAAGTTTTCGGGGCTAAGCCACAGGATAATGCGAAGTAATAAGTCACTCAATTGCTTTGGCCCCCTCCCAAGTGTGAGCATAATGTTATATTTCCCCAAAAACTTTCTTTCCTCGCACTTTCCCTCACACGAGAGCCAATAAATATGGCAACCCGAAGCGGATATGACGCACCGCCTTCACTTTCTAAATGTGCATGTAGATTAGGGTGGGCCTTAAGGAGGATAGCTACTGGGATTTAAAATAACTTAAAAAGATATCTACAAATTTGTATTTTACTTACAATTCTTATTGGCGATCCCTTCTGAATATGTTCAAAATACAATATAATAAAATAAGGAAGTGACTGGGAATTTGAGGACTTAAATACTTGGTCCTCTTCAACAGCGACTTCTGAGGGCCTCTAAAATATAATACATACATATATTCTGTTAAAGAACGAATATCAAGCAACTTCTTAAAAGGCTAAGCTTGTTTTCCTTAAAATCCACTTACAATTAAGGTCCACCTCATTGGCTTTGTGCGCCGTCACTTGACTTTACGGCTTTTTCCTTTTGTTCCAAGCCTGTAATTTGGGCTCTGTTGCTTTCAGTCCGAGGTTCTTGACCCATCGGAAAAACCGACTGGAAGGGCGTTGAATCGAATCGAATCGAAAATTCAACAAACTTCTCGAATGTCAGGCCATCAAAGTCGACAGAGCCTTCAATATTTAATATGAGCAGCGGCTAGATGGGATGAGGCAGGGTATTAGATGCGCATTTAGGCCCGTCATTAGGAACTGATTGAGTGCTTTGTTGAAAGCTTTTCGAGCGAAATAAAATACCCGCCACGAGTCGAACTTTTTTCCCCCAACTATTCATTGAGGAATTTCATGCCGTTTTCCCGCAACTATTTGATGAACAATTTTCGAGGTAAATCCCCTGGCTCACCTTTAAATTCAGGTGCAGTAGACGGCGAAAAATGCGATGTGAATTCACTTATTCAGCCCCGCCAAGGCCGAAACACCCAGCCAGGTTTTTATAATTCATGGCAAGCTCTTTGCGAATTGTTCGCACCTAAGCGCCCCCTAATCCAGGACGATTTGAGCAGAATATATATAGAAGAGCAACAGGCCGGCGGGGGTGGAGATGAAACCGAGTATTGAAACGCCCCTAGAAGAAAAACGGAGACCTGCTCTAATACTCGGGTTACCTAAAAAGCAATTCATTTCCAATGGCAGCACACAAATTCGGACACATGTACTAATAGCTGGCAATAAATTGCTGGATAAAAGCTTTTCATAGCCGTGTGCCTTTTCAGCAGCTCTCATTTCGTTTTGTGATGCTGCCATTTTTATTTGACTGAAACTGCAATTGGCAGTTGGCAGTTTAGCAGCTTAGTGACCAAGTGCCAGACTCTAATTTCATTTAACATTCTGCACTGGAAACTTTGCGTGAAAAGCGGCACTCAAAGGCAGGTTATTAGGTCAGAAAGAAAGCTTTAAAGAAGGGAAAACTTTTTGCAAGAGAATATTTAAAAGGCTTATTATTAATAGCACTTAAATTGTCTTGTACATTTTTCAAACCAAGAGCTTTATAATCTAAACTAAACCATATATTCTCACTACAAGTGCATTCCATTAAACATTATTGTATCTAGTTTTTTCTTTGTAATAATCAGAAATGTATCTTTTATAACGATCTCCTGTTCAAATTCATTTCAATTGCGAATTCCATTAATTGCAATTTGACTGCTACCATAGCCATAGCCTTAGTCAAAGCCGGCAACTCGATTCAATTTATCAGACACAAAGTTCCTGCGGCACCGTCAGCCACACCAGCGAAAAGTTTTGCATATGCAAGGAGCAGCAAGGACCAGGAGCAGGACCATGAGTAGAAGCTGAAGCTGAAGCAGGAGCAGGACCACGAGCTGACTGCATGTTGCAAATTAATTACATCCCTGGGAGTGGCGGTGGTGTGACGAACGAGAGAGTGGCAAACTTTTGGCTCACTTTTCGCAACGTTCTACTGTTTGTGGAATTTAGCGAATATTTCCCACAGGCTAAACAATTTGTTTTCATTACAAATATGAATAAATCTGATTTAATTGGCAAACTTGTAGCGGCGGAGGTTTTTAAGTGGCTTAAATGTGTCACAGTTGGCTAAATTAATGTTGGCATAGTTTCATGCAAATATTTTAAATTTAAGCAATTCGGTTACAATCACTGAACTTACAGAAATGGATATATAGATGGAGAAAAAATAAAAAAGTAATTTAATGATAAATAAGTTATGATAAAGAAGTAATTTTAAATATTTTTTTAAAATTTAAACTATAAGTCACAAAGTCTCCAGTTAATATAATTCAACAGAACACCTTCTTATATAAAAAAAAACTTTTCAAATCTTTTTTAAAGCATCAGAAATTGCTCTCCTGAATTGAAAGTAATTTCTGCCTGTGTAGGGAAAACAACCAATAAAGTAAAAATGTCTTTAATCGCCTTTTGCACATCGGTTGTGTTTTGTGGTCGACTGTCACACGTGTGGTTTGCTGTGGCTGCAGCGGCGGAAGCTGCAGCTGACAGTTTGCAGAGCTCACGTCACTGATTAAGTGGTCGGGCGGGTGGCCTGTGGTTTATCCTTTATCCTTTTCCAAAGCGGACAGCACTTCGTTCAGCTTTCACTTTCTGGTGTCCCGGCGATGCCATTAGTCGTTAGCCCCTCGCCATTTGTATTCAGGCAGGAACTTGGCTCCGAATTAGGGCCAAATGCTGCTGTTGCCAAGTAATTTATGTGTCGCACTGCCTGAATTGTTTATGCGCCCGCCTGATCAGATATTAATGTGAATTCCGTTTGATGGCCACAGCGGGGCGTTTATTTGCACTTTTACCATTCAATTGGAAACTAATTGGACCAGATATCGGCAGAAACCAATTAAAATGCATTGAGAGGTAGGAAAATAATGCGGCTTTGGGCATTTGCATAAAGCCCTGCATGTTAATTGGGAAATTATGACACAGCGATTGGTAAAATCCAATAAAGGATAAAGGCACTCGAATTGAAAATAAAGCAAAGGAAGCGTTAATACAAAATGGCTTATTTAATATCGCAATGTCAGGAAGGAAGGGAAGTCGCTGTCCTCGGTCCCCTGGCGCTAGCTTACTTTGCTTTATTACAAAATCATACTTTCCTTCGTCCTTTTCGAGTGTCTCCTCAGTCTTTGCTTTTCCTGACAGCAGCTTGAAGGACAACAGACCGAGGGGAGGCGAATGGATGGTGGTGTCCCTCCCATTTGCCATTCACTCAACTGAGATTTTTCACATTTTCACTGAGTGTCCTGGTCCTGCTCCTGGGCGCTTTCTCTCGCCATTTTCTTGCACGAAATGAAAATGTCCGAATGGACCTTAATAGTCAGATTATTCCTTGTTGCCATCTTGCACGACTCGTCAGATTTATGACACTCGCCTCCTGCGTCGTCTGGCCGGAGATTAAGACTTTTTCAAGTGACTTCAAGTCGTGAATGGCTGCATAAGAAACTGTTGCAAGCCCAATTGAGCCCGGCTG